AGTATCTTGAATTCTTCCCTGTGCTTTGGCTTCTCTGCGCTCCAGTGCAATTTTCAGAGTCTCTTCTGACATCCATTTTGGTCTTTTCTTCCTCTATGTTTAAAAAGATACAACAGAATATTCAGAACCCTGAAAGACAGGAGAAACACCATTGAATAGCACACTCAGGTTCAGGTCTTCTTGAAACCTACCCTGCAGGTAAGGTCCTTAGAAAGTCCAGAAGGCAAACAGAGCAGTGTCTATGGTACAGCTTCTTCCTGAAGGAACTGATTAGCCTGAATGCAGTGGTTTCCCGGATGAACTGGATGGAATAGGTGATGTTGACACTCATCTGGGGAAGGAGATTATCCAAGCCCATTCTTGTAGCAGCATTCTAAAAGCCACATGCAGTTCCCCTGCAGAAAGCTTTAAACTGCTCTCCTCCACTGAAAGGGAGTGCACAAGGAGGAGATTTCACACTCACCGATTTTGTTGGGAACAATTGGTTTTGCCTTATTCTCCATACACACAATAGGTGAAATCCCCACTTTAGGGTCTTCTTTCTGAAAACAAATATAGGGTAGATGAAAAGAGAGAAAGGGAGATTTACAAGCACAGAAGATACATGGAATCTTGCTGGATCAGGTGCCTGTTCCATATTTATTTTATTAATCTTTTCAGTTTATTACTAATCAACTATACTTCATTATCATATCACCACGCTCTTGTGAGGGAGCTCTGGTGTAGTTTATATAGAGTTGCACTGCTAGTCCAAAGGCTATGCCTCTCTGACAGTTCAAATCCACCAGTGGCTTCTCAGGAGAAAGATGGAAAATATGATTATTCATTATATTTATGAGAACAATCTGCAACAAGGGCTACATTGTGAGGGATGTGGGGGGAATAAAATGTGCAACAATGAAAAAAATAAGCATTTTTAAAGTATTAAAATAAGGATTCAATTATATAGATGAGAAAAGACAGAATAGTCCTTGAATGAAAAAGAGACTAAAAGCCACAAATTTACTGCTGTGGCATCAGAACCAACTCATAGCTGACCCTCCATTGAAATCACACAGGAGGAAATTGCCCATCTTTCTCCTATTCACTCTTTCCCCAAACCTCCATGTCTATCCTACTTTATAACAGTGGTATTATGCAGTATTTGTTCTTTTATGACTGAGATATTTCACTAAGCATAATTATCCTCCAGGCTCCTTCATGTTGTATAATGTTTTACCATTTCACTGTTTTTCAATGCTGTATATTATTTCATTCTGTGACTGTACCATAGTTTTTCTATACATTCGTTTGTTGATGGGCACGTGGGTTGCTTCCACCTCTTTGCTAGTGTGAATAATGCAGCAATAATCATAGGTGTGTACTGTCTTTTTAAGGATCTCTGACAGCACCACAGTTAAGCACTCAGCTACTAATGGAAAGTTTGAGGATTTGAACTTACCAAGAAGGTCCTTAATTGAAACATTGGTGACTTGTTCCTGTAAAGATTATAGTGTACAAAACCCTATAGGGCCGCTTAGTGCTGTCACATGAGGTTACCATGAGAGGAAGGAGACTCATAATAATAACAACAGTAAGAAAAAGCAACATTTTGCCTTTCCTTGAACCTCCTTCACCTCCATTCCTCTATGAAGAGTTACTCCCATCTATCTCACCTCTGAAACGTCAGTTCAACATTTCTTTCCTTTCAGGAACCTAAAAAACCCAGCTGTTGTTGAGCCGACTCTGATTCACAGTGGTCTCATGCATGTCAAGCAGGACTGTGTGCTGCACAGGATTTTCAATGGCTGCTTTTAGGGGAATTAGTGTCAGGCCTTTCTTCAGAGGCTTGTCTGGCTAGACATCAATCTCCAAACTTTCAGTTAGAAATAGAGCATGTTAACCCTTTGCACCAACCAGAGACTCTTGAGGCACCTACACATCCTCCCTAATCTTAGCCAGAACAAAGCATGAAGAATTTGGAGTTTAGGGTTGGTTTTTTATCCTTCTAGTGATTTTTCTCCAAGACTACAATTTTCTAGAATGTAATTCACCATTGTTTTCTATTAAAGCTATGAACTATTAAAAGCATACTGTTAATGTCTTACCTTCACTTCTTGAGAAACATCACTCTTTCTTGTTCGCTTCATGATTTCATCTATTCTCTGAAAACCCAAAAGAATCAAATAGACATTAACAAGACACAAAACACACAAAAGTAAATGGGTCTATATGTACTTTCCCATTGCTCAGAAAAGTAGTTAAAGATAAATGTTAGCAGAGAATGGATCATGAGTATAAAAAGTTTCCTATTGGCTTTGCAAGATGTACACCTCTAACTCTATGAACAAGGACAAATGCTTGAGAAGTTGACAAGTATGAATCTACAATCAACATTCAATTTACACCCCATCTCTCCCTTTAGGTTGTCTTTAACCTGTCCTTTAAGAAGAACACTCTATCTTCTGGAAGGAAAAGTGTCAGAATGAGGGTAAGGCGTAGGTCAGCAAGAAAGGCAGATTGGTGGTTCTAGTCTCCAGGCCTTTAACAATATAAAGCCCAGGCTATACCTGGAGCTTCACTAGAATAAACTTTTACAATCAGCCTCTATAAACCAATTCTATTTACAATAACATTAAATGTAAACAGACTAGACAGGGGCAACTTTAAACACTTTCTTTGCAGTTAGTCTTGTTGTTATATGCTGTCAAACTCACAGATGACCCTCCAGAGGGTTTTCAGAAGCTATAATTGCACAGAAGAATATTGCCCACTTTTCTCTAGCAGAACAGCTCAGACATTCCAATTACCTGAGTCTGGATTAGCAACAAAATTCCTTACCAGTAGGGAAACAGCAGAGCACAGGATATGAACAACACTGTTAATAAACTGTCAAAAATTTGTTCCCATTCCAAGACCAGTGATCCAACAAAATAGGAAAACTATGAAACAATATCATTAATAATCACATGCAAGCAAAACATTGCTAAGAGCATCCAAAAATGGAGAAAACAGTACATTGGCAGGGAAAAACACAGACGTTCAAAGTTGGGTTTAAAAGAAGCTACAGCATCAGGCACATCATTGCTGAAGTCAGAGGGATCCTAGTGGAAAGCAAAGAATACCAGAAGAATGTGTGTATGTATATATACATATATATATATATATATATACATATATATATATATATACTTTATTGACTATGCAAAGGCATTTGACTGTGTCAATCAATGCAGATGATGGCTAACACTGAGAAGAATGGGAATCCCCAAACACTTCATTATTTTCATGCAAAACCTTTACCTAGATAAAGACATAAACAGAGCAAAGGACCATTACATGGTTTAGTATCAGGAAAGGTGTGCATCAGGACTGTATCCTCCCTCCATACCTATTCACTCTGTATGCTGAGCAAATCATTCAAGCTGGACTCTATAAAGAATGTGGTATCAGGATCAGAAGACTCATCAACAACCTATATTATGGAGATGACACAACCTTACATGTTACAAGTGAGGAGGGCTTAAAACATTTGTTGCAGAAGATCAAAGACTACAGCATTCAATATGGAGTACATCTCAACATCACAAAAACAAAGATTCTCACCAGTGGACTGAAGCAACATCAAGGTACATGGAGAAGAGACTGAAACTGTCAATGCATTCATTTTACTTGGACCCACAATCAACATACTTGGTAATCTCCAAATTTCTGGGAAGCAATGATGTCCATTTCAGAAGCAAAGATGTCAGTTTGAAGACTAAAGTGTGCCTGTTTCAGGCCATGATCATTTCCTAAGCATCTGAAAGCTGGACAATGACTAAAGATCACAGAAGAATAATTGATGTCTTTGTGTTGTGGTTTTGGAGAAGAGCACTGAATCATCTACCTGATGGACGGCCAAAAGAACAAGCAGGTATGTCTTGGAGAAAGTACAGCTAGAGTGCTCCTTAGAGGCAAAGATGATAAAAGCACTTGAAGCATGTTTCTGGGAGAGGCTATTGCTTGGAGAAGGACATCATGCTTGGAAAGGTGGAATGTCAGTAAAGAGAGGAAGACCCTCAACCAGGATTGACACAATAACTGCTGCAATGGGCTTGAATATGTCAGACATGAGGAGGATGGCACAGCCTAGGACATTATTCAGATCTGCTGTTCATAGGGTCAGTATGAGTCATATTCAACTCAATGGCACCTAACAATAACAACTATCAAACTGGGGAGGTCTGGTGGTGTTGTCTGCAGAGAGTTGTGATGTGAACCCAAAGGTGAATCAAATATAGCAGTGTGTCTCTGGAGTGGAGAGTGAACCAGCAGCCACTCCTCAAGAGAAAGATAGGTAATCATATCTCATGTGATTTACTGTCTCAGAAACCTGCCAGAGGTTAAGTAATGAGTCAGAAGTGACTTGAAGGCAACACATTTGAGTTTGAATCAATAAACTTGTCCTACTTGACAATTACAAGAACAATCCAACCAAGTGCAGATTAGAACTGGACTCACTTCTTATTCTGCCTCACCCTGAGTCTTCCTGACCTCTCAGCCCTTACCTTCTTCCTCTCTAGTCGCTCCTGCTCAATCTGCAGCATGATCTGTTCTCTTTCTAGACGCATCTGCTTAGCTGCTTCTTGAGCCTTTGCTTCTGCTGCTTCTTTCTAAGAGAAACAGGTAATCAAAGCACAGGCTTTATTTAGCTCAGAAAAGATGGCAGTACTTCCCTGAAGTTTACATACGTTTCTTCAATTTATCACTTTTTCTCAAAGTGAGTGCCATTTCAACAGTCAATGTTCATATTTATACAAGCTGTTCTACAATACAGCAGATACTCAAATACTCCTGGTATGCAAATTACCTGTAAACAGTTCTCATATGAAACCTAGGTGGTCCGGTATCTAGCTGAGTCTCTGGCCTTGGAATGCAAATAGCAGGAAGTTAATTCTATGTGAATGATCCTTAACAATGAGGGGCTGGAGTAAGTGGATACACATTCTCTGAGGGGTAATTATCTAGGGCATGTTCGAGTCTCTGGGGGGGGGGTCGCAGTGGTCCACACTTCAACTAGTTCTTCACTGGCTTTCCTCTCATTCTGCAACCAGTTCCCAGAATAAATTCTTCTGTCCAAACTCTATGCTACCAACTGTCTTTAGGGGAGACAAAAGTAATATATAATAAATGTTGTCAACTCCACTTTTGTTCCTCAAAATAACTTTTATTTCTTAACTATGTCAGAGAGATTTTTAAAAATTCAAGTAAATACTCTAAGACACTGAAATGTAACTTATTTTACCTAATATCAAGACAAGTCCTGAAAACATAAGAAGTCTTCTCAGGACTCATTCTGTACCTGCTTCTCAATCATGGCTTTTTCTTGCTTTTCTCTTTCTCTTTTTTCCTTTTCTTGCTTTTCTTTCAACAGCTCCTCCTGAGCCTTGCGCTGCGCCGCCTCTTCTGCCCTTCTTTTCTCTTCCTCCTCCTGTTTACGGGCTGCTGCTTCTAGACGAAGCCTTTCTTCCTCAGCCTTTCTTTTCAATTCTTCTTTCTCCAGCCTTTTGAGAACAGAATTGTTGTTAGAAGAAGATATGCTCAAAAGGCAAACTGCCAATTAGTGTCTACTGGTTAAAATGGAATCCATTCAACTGAGTTTGGGCATCTACCCCACCTCCAAAAGAAGCCGCATTAACCAGGCTTGATATCAAAATCTTTAAGGAATAGATGTTCCCAAATCTATTTACAAATGATCAAAATAAGACAGCCAGTCTCACCATTCTGATTTAAGAACAGTTTTTTTAAAATGTAGAACAAATGTTTAAAATTGATCTAAAATATAAACACTTGGCAGTGTTTTAATGGCCAGTCAGCAATTTAAAATTTATTATTATAAGCTAAAAAAAATTCACTTTGGGCTATAATTAGTATTTAAATTCTAAAGCAGCAAATGGAAGAAAATCCTCAATAGAAACTTGACATCTGAATAGAGAAATTAAATAAAAACCTCTATGTCCCCATTTTATTTGTCTTTAACAGCCATTTTAGCTTTTGTTCTTCGTGATTTCAAAATCCAATGGCATTCTCCTCTGTAACAGTTCTGTTGTTGTTGTTGTGTAGCACTGACTCAGAACCAACCCATAGTTGACTCCCTGGCAGGTTTTCAGAGGCAGTTAATCACACAGGAGAAGACTGCCCATTCTTCTGCCCTGGAGCAGTTGGTGGCCTTGAACCCCGTGCCTTTGGGATTGCAGCGCAGCTTTTTGCCACTAGGCCACCAGAGCGCCTCCATAACAGTTCTACTCTATAATAAATTGATCTTCATCAACTGAAAATAGGGAAAAAATTAAAGACTTTTGATATTTTTTAACCTGATGAATAGTTTATGCTGCAATGATAAAAATTATCGAGCTGGGGGAAATGCTGCACTGTCCCCAGGAGTGTTTTCACATTTCTAATGTTCTTCATCCATAAAAACACTTACCTTGAAGAGTGTTAGTGACTGCCAATCTGACATGTGCAGGACCTAGACTGCATTCTGGTTGTACCACTTGCTGTGTAATCTCTAGAAATTTACTAAACATTTCTGACATTCATTTATATTACTGCTCCAGAGTATTATTGGGAGGATGGAATGAAACAATACATGGGGAGTACCAGGCCCTACAAGGTTCTCAAATATTAGCTTTTGGTATAATCTAAGATTATTTCTAGCCCCAATGTTCTTCTAAGTGAATCTAGACATCTATGCATTTTCAGAAATTACCAGGTTTGTGTTTTGTGGTGTTTTTTTTTAAATGTGTCATTAACTTGATGTGCTATTATACTGTTACAAAAAAAAATCAAACTTTAAAAAGAGAGCTTTCCATCCCAATAGTCAGTATCAGAAATTGGCTATTAGCCAACAAAATACCATCAAAGGTTTAAAAAAAAAAAAAAAAGCTCAAATTCATTGCTGTTGAGTCAGAACTGACTCATAGCTGACCCTCCAGCAAGTTTCTAAGGCTGTAAATTGCACAGTTGACTGTTCATCTTTCTCTGTAGGAGCCACTGATGGATATGAAGTGCCAGACATCAACTCAAGACAGTGTAGTGATAACATATTTAGGCATCAGCAGAGGGTTCAGCACAAAAAAGTATTGCTGGTACAAGTGAAATAAAGCATTTTGGGGAGCTCGCAAGAAAAAGATTATCGGTTTGAATCGGACACATTTTTTGACCGCCCCGGAGAAGCTAATGCAAAAAGGATGATACATATCAATGAACACATAAACTCACTCATAAAGGGCATGTTATCTGCATCTTCAGGATGTAAAATCCCTTTTCTTCCTTCCAGTTTTCTCCTCATGGCTGCAGAGGTGCTCAGATGCAGTAATACATTCTGGTAGGGCTCAAATCTCCATGAGCCTCAATTGTCACTCAAAATACAAGTTATTCACCATAAGCCCCTTAAATCTTTTCATGGTGGTTGTTATTATGTTCCATCGAGTGCCTGTGATCCATAGTACAGCAGCTCTGAAGCCTTCCCTATCCTGAGCCAGTCTCATGAACTTGGACACACCAAACCCTACTGCCCTAGTTATTGTATCAATCCACCTCTCTGGAGTCTTCCTTTCCTGTGCCATCCTTCCACCCTCTGAGCCATGATGTCCTTCTCTAAGGATTGGTCCCTCCTGGCCGTGTGCCCAAAAGTACTGTGAGATGGAGCTTCAAAATCCTAGCCTCTGGCAAGCTCTGGTGGCCTAGTGGCAATAAGCTGCACTGTAATCCCAGAGGTGAGCGGTTCGAATCCACCAGATTCTCTGCTGGAGAAGGAGGGACAATCTCCTCCTGTATCAGTCAGATCTGATTTGATGGTACACACAAAGAATAATTTAAAACAAATCCTAGCCTCCAAGGAGAAACTTGGTTTTACCCTAAGATAGACTTGTTTTCTTGGTGGTCCATGGTATGTTCAAGACTCTTCTCCCAGCACCACAACTTGAAGGCAGCGTTTCTTCTTCTGTCATCCTTAGTCACTGTAGTTCCAAGGAAATCCTTTCCTCTTACAACAAAATCCCGTTCATTAACCACTCTGCTTCCATCAAAGAAGGCTAAAAAGTCAGCTTCTGCTGCATGAAAGCCCAATCTTAAAATCCCCTATGAAGATGAATATTCTTTCTCTTACTGTTTAAGTGACCCAAAGGAACATGGATTTTATTTCCCCCCATCCTTGGCATGATTACCAACTTCCCTCTGAAGTTCAATACTCCAATGTACCATACCTGTGTGCAGCTCTGTCAGCATCCACATCCAAGTTCATCCCATTCCATATTAATTTAGTAGGAAGTACTGAAAACTGAGTATTACTGTCATAGTTGAGAATTTCTTCCCTTTCTCAAGCCACTGGGGAAAATGGCCATCTTTCTCAGCCTCTCTGGCAACAGTTGTTGTTCTATTTCATTTTTGTGCATCCAGCCTTTCGACAGACAAGCAGGTAGACAACTAGATAGGTGTCACTAGACCCTTCTTTTATGTACTTAAAAATTTTCATCAACATCTTCAACTTGGTCTATTTGATCTCAACTCATCCTTCTGGTCTCTTGACCTGGCTCTGATAAGTACCATGTCTGCATCCCTCTTCTTCTAGTGCCACCAAGTCCCCCTCTCTAGTGCTTCCGGGGTAGGGCAGAGACGCCCTCTTTTTATGTGCTCTCTATGCCCACTCATGCCCGTGGGCTACTAAGTAGAAGCTAGACATCTCCTTTTAGCCTCATCCTCTGGGTCATACCAAGGCATCCAACTTCCATCTTTTTTCTATCTTCATCAGTTTTCTCCAACAAGGTTACAGAGAAGACGGAGCCACCTGTGGCTCTTCCGTCCTCTAGAGTACTGCCACTTACATGCAAACTCTTCCACTTGTGCTATTAATTCCACACTATCCCTAAACCCATGTCTCTCTCATCCCTGCCTTCCACTGCCATACTCCTTCCCATTACATGCAAAAATATTTAAGGTGCAGGTATCCCAGACAGCAATTCCTAGAGCTTCCTTACCCTTTCTCTTACCCAAACTCCTTAAAGGCCAGCTGATGTCAACATTCCACTCTCCACTCGCTCACAATCTGATTTCTTGTTTCCATTGCTCTTCTCAAACATGCTCCTTCTAATTCCCTAAAATCTGTCCTCAGCTCTCACTCCATGTCTTGGTTTTGTATGTTTTCACCTTGAGGAGAAGTTGCACTTCCCAGGTTCTTTCCTCTGGAATCCTCTCTTCCTGCCCTGGAATCTCCAAACAATCTATCACCTGAAGGTTCAGCCAGTGAACAATCAACTCTGAGGGGCCCTTAGGCTCCAGGCCTGATGCAAAAATACTCATTAGTGTTTGCACACCAAGCTTCAGCCTGCCTGAATATAATGCTTATAGGGCTGGCTGAATGTCATCTCCGTTTCTATTTTAGCATTTTAACACGGCTTCATGTGCTCCACGAATGCATCCCAGTAGGATCTCTTGCTTCCCAGGTGCAACCAATGCCTTCCCCAGAGAAGGGCCCAAAATCTAGGATTTCTTTCTCTGACTGTAAGAATCCCAATATACCTGGGTACATTTAGTGGCCCAGCATCTATGCTCTGTTCCCCATGCTTCCTAGCGATCTCCAGTATCAGGGCTGCCTTTGCTTTTCAATGGGGGGGGGGCCTGGCTGTCTGGGCTCCTGTCAGATTTTCTGCTCTTGAGAAGTCCCACCTTCCCTGATTTGAATGGCATGTCCCTTGTCAGTCTGCAACAAGAACTGGGCTTTCCAGTTTGGGCTCAATTGGCTTTATTTTTTTTTTCTCTAATTATTTGACAACTACATTTCTTCAACTTAACTATTGGCTTTAATCATAAAACAGATGTGAAGATGATTTTATTCCAAAAGATGTCCGCTGTGTTCCATCCCCAGGTTCTCTGGTACCTTCCTTTATCATCTCCCACGTGGGGCTATCAACGCTTCACATTCTGGCAAAAGAGAGGAAAACTGGTTTTGGGTCAAATGTATCGCTCTGATTTTCCCGTGGGGGTCAATATATTGCTCTATTTGTACCAAGGCTGCAGGCTTCAACGCCATGCTTCTAGTTGCTTGGGCACTTTGTAATTTAGTTTGTTTAAAGTTAGATGGATTAATTTTATCCTCTTTTATCAATTCTTCCTGCCCTCCCTGTATGTCACCAAGTGTACTGTTCTCCAAAGTCTTTGTGGTCAAACTTGAGCATCAGCTTTGTATCTGTTTCTCTCAAGTCTATAGATATTAGCTGGCCTTAAATCTGACCTTGAATCACCCTGACCTTGAATCACCCTGCCTTTGCCAGTTCTATTTTAGCCCTTGCCTTCTCTGAACCTCCTAGTATAAGTTTTCTTACTGAGTCTCTACCTCCTCCTCGTCCTTCCTAGCACATACTGAGTGCTAGAAACTGGGGATCCTTGGACTATAAAGCAGACTTTTAAGATGTGTACTTGGAAGAGAAGGTCTCAAAACAAATGAGGCTGTTAGATGTACAGCTGGACTCGGCAAGGGTACAGAGAAGGCAGGGGTCCGTTCCTTCCCAGGTGTGAGGTCTGAAAACTCTACTGAGAGGAGCAAAACTTGACATGAGTCTTAAGAAATGAAGTGTCTGTGTTGGGAGGCATGTGTGTCCACATAACACGTAGGAGAAATAAAGATTTGTTAGTATGAGTAATGTGATGGGGGGATATCAGGGAGATTTGCATAATGGTGCGCAGACTGGGCAGCAGTGGGGAGATGGGTATTTGACTGTTATCAGCAGAATTTCAAGGAACAGAACCTGTAGGCAAGGTAATCACTGGGCATTTTACATTTTAAGGGTGGGAGCAGAACAACCACACTTCTTCTTTCAAAGGTCACTGTGGGCATAGAGTAGACAGTAGACAGGGTTAAGAGCCTCAGAGCAGGAAGAGGAGATGGAATGCCACAGACACAGGCTAGGTAAGAGGAGACAGTAGGAGCTGACTACAGCAGAAGAGGTGAGTGAGAAATAAAGGGGAAGAACTGAGATGACATAAGGCAGCCGCAACGGGACCTGACAACTGCTGAGTGTAGATGGAAGGGAGGGAAAGGGAAGAGTTGAGAGTTGATGCTATGACTTGGGAACTGGGTATCTATGTAGATGGAGGCACAGAACTCATGAAAAGAAGGGAGGACATTTGGGAGCTAGGAAGAGCTGTTTTGGACATACTGGATTTGAGATACTATGGACACACTCATATGAAAAGATAAAGCAGTTAGAAGTGTGGGTTCTACATCTTAGACCAGCACTATCCAAAAGAACTTTCTGTCTAGAAGGGGATTTGGTTACTGGCACAGTCAGGAGTCATGGGTATCTTTGTGGTATTCAGTGCCTTCCTAATTCCAAACAGGAATTCCTAACCAGGGGGTTAGGAGTTGGGCTGCTAACTGAAAAGGTGGTGGTTCAAATGCACCAGCTACTAAAGAGAGGAAAGATGAGGCAGTGTGGTCTTGTGAAGATTTCTAGCCTCAGGAACTCAGGACGCAGTTCTGCTCGGACCTCTAAGGCTGTATGAGCAGCAAAGGACTTGACAGCAGTGAGTGTGGTTTCTGGTTGTGTTTGTTCCAGAAAGTATGAAAGGTTTACAAAGAAAAGAGGAAATGACAGAGTTGATAAAATAAGAAAAATAAGGACAGTAAGAGAGAAAAGAACAGGATTGGTATTGTGTATCATACACTCAAAACGGAATTCCTTATGTGCTACTCGCCTTGGACTCATTCAACATGATGGACGCAAAGGCAGAGTAGGCGGGAACAACACTGTTCATGGAGGCTGGTCAGGGGAGAAACGTTAAGGACTGAGGCTGTGATGGGTGAAGAGACAAATGAGAATAAGGAAGAAAAGGCAGAGAGACAAGAGAAAGCTTGACAAGGTCAAGAGCAACAAAGCCGGCTCAGTCTGGGTATTAGGAGAAAGAAAAGGCAGGGAGTACAAGTCATGGAAGAGCTGGGTTGTCAGGGAATGTCTGTAACGGGGTGGGGGATTAGTGGGAAGATAATGAACTTCACCTTGCTAAGCACACAGCTACAATCAGCTTACTCACCTGTTTCACACTTGCATGACATCTTCAGGGCCAGTACTTACCAAGGCTTGAGATTTGAGAACTCACGATTCATCTTCATGTCCTGGAACCTACCTTCATACATCTTAAGGACCACCTAAATAACCCAGTTAATAATAAAATCTGCTGGTATTAACCAAAAGCCTGGAGATGGGGAAATTATCAGAGGTCCACGATTTGAAGCAAGAAACCGGCCTGACCTACCTTGTCTCTAGTTCCTGTTCTTTCTACAGGGATCAGCAAATCTGCAGAGACTACAGACTTACCAAGGTCATAAAGGATAAAGAATATTCTGTTTCTTACTCTAAATTCTGTGCCAGACTTGAAGTGCTGCAGAGTCACTTGCTTCCTGTCATATTAATTCTCTAAGTGGCTTAGACTGCACTATTATTCTAAAAGCTTCCTTTATCAATTTAATAATCAAATTGTACCTTATCCTTAGCTTGCACCTCTCTCTTAACACAAAGACCAGAAAAGGAAGGGCTGTCTTTATTTGGACAGTGACCTGGTACTTCCAATGAAGTGGTTCTCAAGCACAGGCATGACATCAGAATCACCTGGCTAGTTACAAAGCGAAAGAGGCCCAAGGTCACCGAAGCAGGAAGAATCTGCAGGAAAAAGCAGGCAGGCCCCAGCTGTAGCACTGTTTTGCTCCCCCCACCTAAGTTTAGGAGCTTCTGCAGCGAAGTCAAGTCTGCTGCTACAGAGTGGGTTTCTCCAACCTCCTGGCTCACGGACTATGAGGTCAGCTGCCACCCCTCTCCAGGAAACTCTGCTCAACCCTTGTTTCTCTCTAGAAGATGTGACTCAGGATAGTCTGGGTGAGAAAATATGTCAAGATTGTTGCATCTAGAGCCTTCTGTCTTCTCAGACAGAATCTAATTTTAGGGGACTGGCTGGTCTCAAAGTTCAAGAGGAGAAAAGGAAGCTCCCTATACCATTTAGAATCAGGAGCTGTGAGTTTTCAGGCCCTCCATCATGGTGATATCTGACAGCAGCTATAGCCCCTCAGGCTGTGCAAACCAAGCATTCCAGGTTCATAGGCTGCTGATGCCGAGTTTTAAGCAAAACTAAAACTGTAAGTGAAAGCTGAGCTGCTTTTTCACCATAGCCTTTCCCATGAGATCATCCCAAAACTCTAAACCATACCTATCCTGCTCTTCCTTTTCCAATCGTTCTTGTTCTTCCTGTTCCTTCTGCAGCCGGGCCTGGCGTCTCTTCTCAGCCAGGATCTTGGAGGCCTCTCCAGCATCAATGGTGCCTGCTGTAGGTTTCCCTGGGGGAGAAGCATCAAGTAGACAAGACTAAGGTGAATGAGTACAAAGTTTCTACTCATTCAGCAGCTGCCACTTGGAAAACAAAAATCTAACCCAATGGCTTAAGGGGCAACACTGTCAGGATTAGCCATGGAACAGAGAAGGTATGCAAGGGCAGCTTGTGAACCTAGCTACATTTCATAGTTCAGGGGAGTGGACTAGAAAGAAAGAGAAGAAACAAGTTCCAAGGTCAATGCCACTGCTACTCTCATTGGGGTGAACATACTGTATCACAAAGGCTAAACAGATTAAAGTCTACTTGCTAGGAAACTCAAATCTGCTGACTGGGGGCAAACTGCCTTCTTCAGCACATTATGGGTGTTTCTGCAGTCTGTACTGAGTCAAGGAAGCTCCAGTGACTTAGGGATGGAAGCAGGAAGAGGGCAAGAATTCTGTTTGGATGGGTCAGATAGGACCGCCCTTGGCCACTGAAGTCCTCAGATGGCAGTGATGAGGGGAAAGGCTCACCTTCGGTGTTCTCAGCCTTCAATCCAGAAGCAGCACGCTTCTCAGTGACGTGTTTGTCTACAATGTGCTTCTCTGGAACCTCCTCTCGTTGAGCACCAAGTGCCTGGCTAATGGCACCTTCCCTTTCTTTGTTGGTCTTTTCTTTCTCTGCCTTCTTCTTGGAAATCTCTTGGTTGGAAATTGCAGGAAGACGATATCTTACTGGTGATCCTAGGAATGGTGGCTTCATGTTCTTAGGGGACTGTGGATATGTTTTGGAAGTTGATCTGTGAAAAAAGAACATAACGTGAGCTCATTACTGGGCCTTACCACAGAACTCTCTGCTCCTCAGATACAATTTCGTCTTTCAAGAGAAACAAATGCAAAGCTCAGCATACATTCCAAAGTCCCTACAGTACTAACAGCACCATATGGTGTCTAGAAAACATCCTTGGTCAAAAGGAAATATTTTAAGACACCCAGATGGTGACGCCACGTCCTAATTTCACTTAAGTTGGATGACAACGTAAGGATGGATACTGGGCATTTCCCCACCAACTCTTTTTAGATGAACAAACACGCTTGTCCTGGAGAGGGTGAAGACAAACTGCTCCTAGGAGGCAAGGATTTTGAAGCTCTGTCTTACATACTTTGGGCATGTTGCCAGGAGGGGACAGTTCTTGGAGAGGGACATCATGTTTGGAAGGGTGGAGGGATGGTGCAGGAGAAGAAGAACCAGGAAGAGAAGGACTAAAACAGTAACTGAGATAATGGGGGTAGGAGACGGTCTGGGTACAGGGTAGGCTTCAGAGTTGCTGTACATAGGGTCACTATGAGTAGGCGACTCAATGGCATATAACAACAAACACAATTTCTACTGAGTTGGAACTGACTCTTAGCTGACCCTCCAGTAGGTTTTTAGAGACTGAAAATCACATCAGAGGGGACTGTCATTTTTTCTCTCATGGTGCCACTGGTGGATTTAAATCATCAGAGAGGTGCTGCCTTTGGCCTCTTTTTCATATATATAAAAGCTTCACTGGTTTGCTTCAGTGGAGAACCCACCTTAAGACACACATGTACCATGGAATTCTGTCCTGCTAATTTTTTCCTCCCTAAACTCTTTCAGCAAATGTAAACCTTAAACAGATTTAGTAATATAAGGGGAAGAAATGCTGAAGGGACACTGAGTTTCTGTTTGGGGTGAAAAACTTTTCAAAAACAATTCAAACCTATTAGCAGCTCTGCATGACTAAAATGGGAATTCTGCTACTATAAAAATTACAGTCTTAAACACACTATTGGGCAGTTCTGCTCTGTCCTGTAGGGTTGCTATGGGTAGGAACTAACTTGACAACAACGGGTTTGGCTTTTTCCTGGCCTCTACTCACTAGATGTCAGTAGCAATTTACTAACTTTGACAAAAATGTTTTCAGACAATACTAAATGTCCCCTCCTGGATGAAAACAACTGAGATCAGATATACACATATGGAGCTCTGGTGGCCTAATGGGTAAGGAGTTGCACTGCCAACCTAAAAGCAGGCAGTTTGAATCCCACTCTGAGGGAGAAAGAAGGGCAATCTCCCATGTAATTTACAGCCTCTAAAAGCCTGCTGGAGGGTCAGCTTTGAGTCAGTTCTCATTTAACAGAACATAGGAGCCACAGCATGCATATATGAATTCTCACATATATTCTGCATGGGTAAGTCAGAAAAATATAGAGCTGTTCGGGTTGGAAAGTCAGGGTCTGGATCCCCACCACTAAGCCGAGGCATGTCTCCTGAGACCCTTATCATGCCTCTATGAGTTAACACACTTTCCTTAGATGTTCTGACCTCAGTCTCTCACCCAGAGTGCTAGAACTCAGACCTTCATCATCATATTCCAAAACTGTGCCAAGTATATGTATATACAGATCTGTATATGTCTTTCAGTTGTAAAAATAAATCATATGACACAAATAATACTAATAGTACAATGGTCACTTTAGAGATGATTCAGAAACTGAGTTTAAACTGATAAGAACAGATACTACACTTGATCTTAGCCAAAAGGCCGAGAAGCGATTAGAAACTGAGTTTAGAGGAGTTAAATAACTTGATGCTGCTAAATCCACAATGTCTGGGATTAGAAGCCATTATCTGCCTGACTCTACTCCTTTCCTTCTGCTCTGCTCAGGCTGTGAAGATGGCTAAGCCTATATTTTGGGGTAACTAGGTCCAAAGATGTTTTTCTCTGACATGGCACAGAAACAAGCACTCAATAGCTGTTTGAGTAATGTTATTGTTAGAGGTGATGAGAAACTTTTGGAAACTGATAGTGGGAATGGTTACATGTAATGAAATTACTGGGTATGGGAAGCCAAACTTTATACCAAATATTATATGAAAACCCTTGTTCAGGAATTGAAGGAATTACAGATACATAAGTTAGGATTTCTCTTGTGGCAGATCCTAGAAAATGAGCTATTTGTTTCCTGCAAGACAGGAGACAGCAAGGGGCCCCCTACAGAGGGAGTGTTGCTTCCTGAGCTGGAGTTCACCCTGAGGCATCAAGGTTAACAGTTAAGGGTAAACCAAATTCTTGCATGTGTGAACCCCTCCCTCCTGAGTCAAGCAGAAGGTTTTCAATAGAAAGAGCTTGGCTTCATTTGCATTGAATTCTCTTTGTGATTTACTTCCTGATAATTTTCAATAAAGATACAGAGAAGCTTGGCTTGGGGTCTTCAGTTGAGAACTGCTGGCCCCCTGTTTTATGCTCTCTATCTCATTCCTGGCTGTTTGTCTCATTATTAATAATTATAAAATTATTCCATTCTTTGGGACCCTTGGTCTGCAACAACTGGGAACACTGAATTCAATAGATAAATAAACGAAAAATCCTAATGTTTTTCTAAGAGCAACCCTAAATCAGGTTACCAAGGGAAAGTGGCAGGTCCTAACCTCTCACATCAATTAATATATTGCTCCATAAAACATACTCTGAGATTCATTCTAAGAGTGCTCCTCTTAGGTTCAACTAAACTTTACATATGGCAAGAGAACTTTTGCTTGGCAATGCCTTCCTTTCATACTTTCATCCAGTGCTGTAACACCATTAAGCAAGCAGACCCTGCTGCCTCAGCCTCTCAAGCTAACAATGACCTACTGAGAGGAGTAGTGCACACAGTTGTAAATCCATCACCCAGTCTGCTAAAACCACCATGACGAGCGTCTCAAAAGGCTCTATTATATTTTTATGCAAATAATGTGTTCCCATTTTTGCACACTGTGCAAACTGCCCTTCTTCTGAATAATAATAATGTACCAATTGCTCTTTTTTGCATGTTGTTGAATTCAATATATTTTTTTTTCTAAATGACTTATGTTAAGTCTTTGCTTGCTGCCTGTTGATGTAGAGGTTTGGTTTCCAGTAGCTGCACCTTCACATTTCTGAAGCCACCCTGCTTCCAACAGGATTACACTCATGCTCTGCCAATAGCATTCTCCAGTGCAAAAAGAAACCATTTTTTTTCTTCCCCCAAAACTAGCGTGCTAGGGTGGCCAGGGCTCAGTCCATGGGGTGCATGGATTTGCACAGCCCAAGTTGGACAGGCCACCCAAGCAGGTGAGTGGAGTGTGCCGAAGCAGTGCACGTTCCACCTGGCGGTCCAGCCAGCCAGCCACCCGTGGGTTCCATCTCCTGCCTGCAGAAGTCACAAGGCTGGTTGTAGAAGGGTCATGCTCCTCTCTCTCAGAGGAAAGGAAGGGTCTGACTGGCCATCTGGGGACAGAACTTGCAGGGACAGGCAGTGCATGCCCATACCTGCACCATCCTGTCACCGATCCTCATGTGGAGTGTGAAATGAGAGAACTAAGTGCAAGGAAAGTGGCCCTGCCTCAGGGAGGACTAGCCCATATGGGTCTATGGCAGCCCACATGCAGACCTTCCACCCACCCCTCCGCCTGGCTGCAGCCACATAACCTGCTTCAGATCACCTGAAAGGAACTCTGTGGCACCTTACTCTATATAGGTGAACTGTCACAGAGAAAATACCCAATTTCAGGTGTTTATTTTGCCACTGCTCAAGTACTATCAAACTTGACACAGATGTTTGATTCCCAACAGCAGTTCCTCATCAGCCTATGCCTGAGTTTCTAAAGCATGACTTCCTGACCATGGTTGTTATCTTTACTAAGGCTGTTCAAAATTAACATTTTCAAACTAGTGAATGGGGCCAAAAGTGACTTCTAGAAATATCACAAAACATACATGGGTTTGCTACGCCAGAGCTTTTAAATTTCCTAATTTCTGGCCCTATATTTTGTGGGTATACTTGCAAAAAATACAGTACAGTTTTGCTAAGTACAAAACACATCGCTCACTCCATGGAACATCATGTGGATGCTACATGCTGCTTCATTCTCCAAACACACATGGGCAAGGAATTACCCTCCAGTTTGGAAGCAGAGACTTCCATAAGGGAAGATTGCTATATTATGGTAAATGATGTGGACGCAAACATGTTTTTCTTCTTGAACTACTCCTACTATGACTCATTAAATAGGAATTTCTGGTATTAAAAACACTGACCAAAAGAAATCCTGCACTCTTTCCCCTGCTCTCTGATTGATTAGCCTGGCAAAGGTGCTGTGTACACATAAGTCTAGCCTAGTCTGGGTCTCACTCCTCGACTTGCTTATAGAGGGCGCACGTCCCACTTCTCTAAGGGTTAGGCTAAAAGGAGGCAGGGTCTGGTCCTGGGAGCCTGTAATCCTCTGGTGCTTCTGTCAGGATGGGCAGACAGACAGAGGAGATGTTTTTCTGCAGATCAATTCCACCAAGGAGGGTCCCCAGGGCTGGACTTGGAGGACTAGGTAAGAAGAATCAAGAGGCTCAAGCCTTTCTGCAGTTTAGCCTTAGCAGCGATATGACCAGCATAATGAACCCAGCACGACCCTGGGACTGTATAAATGCTTCACTATCAGAAGGGACTAGTGATGAAATCAGACCATCAAGCAGTGGAACTAAGTCATATGGGTCTGTCTGATTTATGTAAGCAGGTAGGAATGTGGGGAAAGACAACAAACCCAGAGGAAAAAGGTAGATTGTCCTGAGTTGGGGCAGGGGGAACTCTGACACTCTCACATGAGCTTGGCCTGGGGCTCACTGGCTGCACTGTGCTTCATCAGAACAGTCACGTGCAGTGTAGTTCACACTACAGACTGAGATTCTGTCCTAAAAAAACCTGTGAAAATCACTTGTGAGTACATATTTAAAAATAATTTCTACCTAGGAATCAAGGG